AGGTAGGCGTTCCTGAGGGTCCTAGGGGCGTGATTCTTAACTCTTATATAGATACGCACTACATTAGCCTTTTTCCAGTCGTCTGGGACCTCCCCCGATCGCCATGAGTTTTCAAAAATGATGGCTAATGGCTCTGCAATCTCACCCGCCAACTCCTTTAGCACCCTCGGATGCAGCGCATCCGGCCCCATGGACTTGTGCACATCCAGTTTTTCTAAATAGTCCCGAACCACTTCTTTCTCCACAGAGGGTTGGTCACCTTCTCCCCATGCTGTACTGCCCAGCTCCCTAACGGTTGCCAGGTTTTCTGTAGGAATCAAGGCAATTGCAAATGACCACTGAAATCAATCGAAGTTCTGTATGGGGACCGGATACAGAATATAGACATAAGTCTTTATATTTTTCACTGTCAATAACCAATTTCCAATGCAAACATTTTAAAAATCCCTTAATCGCCAACACACTTAATTCTGAAGAAGAAATTAAAGTTTTATCACTCTTTTTTATCTTTACCTGACAATCTCATTATTCACAGAAATAGCTTCCAGATATTTCTTCAGTGCATAGTAATTATGGATATATTTTCGGATATAATAGCCTCGCCATCTTTTCTGAATCTAGAAGAAATATATTTTTACTTTAGTATATTTCATGCAATATAGTAGTGAAAACAGTTTGCAATACTCTTATAAAATAAGTTTTTCAAAGGATGATGGGGCTTTAAAAAGTGACATCACACATATACGTAAATTTGTCTTTCCATTAATATAGCGACGGTGAGAAGTAAGTTTTGTACTAAAATTGTAGCATGAATTAAATATTAAATGCAAACATTATTAGAGATGTTATCAAGAGATGACAGTGATTATGAGCTAATCGTGATTTAAGTCATTGCCTGCATTGAGGTGTGGCAGGGAGAAGAGGCTGTGCACAGGCTCCCAGAGTCATTGCACCTGGTGGCACAAGTCCTGTAAGTGGGATAGGAAGTACATCCAGAGGTGGCCCCTGTTACAATGATTTACAGTGCATAGCATTGTATCACCCCAGCTCTAATGCACTCTCAGCAGTACACTGGGGGTCTGATCCTAAGCCCAATGAAGTTAGTAGAAGACTTTGCACTAACTCCAATGGCTTTTTAATCAGGCTCTCTATGAGGTTTCTGGTAGCACTGCATGTGCTACAGTTCCCTGGGTCCTTCAGGCAAGCGGCATCATCCTGCAAGTGCTGACCACACACTATACTCATTATTATTAAGAAGCAAGACAGTATAGGGCTATTTGTTAAGTAATTAGTCATAATATTTCCATAGAACGCTATCCTTCCAACAAAACTGATGGGAATTATGTAGAAAAAAGGACAAGGGAAATTTCTTACATGTAAATAATTACCTTAATGTAGTCCTGTTTATTAATACACTATATTAGGTCATATGGTCTCCTAAACATAGCATCAGGATAGGGGGATTCATAACGCTACGTACTTTAAATTGTATGCCCCAATTCTGACTATAATGTCCCGAGAATTTAATCAACAACACTGCTCAAACTAGCTCTGCTGATTAATTCTGCCCATGGTAACTCTAAAATGTTGATTATTTTAAAACACTTTAAAATAATCACTTAGCACTGTAATATCTGTTTCTTTGGGAATGGAAGTAAGAAGTAATTAGCAGCAGAGTTGTAAGAATTCTTGTAATTTCAGTGCTTGCTGACTAAAAATCAGATTAATTCCTATGTGGACATTCAGAGACAGAGAGGAGGCAGCTTGTGCCTCCCCTATTCAGAGAATGTGGGGGCCAGTGCAGAGGGCTGCTCCCACTCCACATTTTCTTTCCTGTAATATATATCAATATATGTTTTCTCATGTTGACTTTTGTGTATATTTCCTCTTTGCCTTCTCTTTCCCTCCAATCCTTATGTAACTTTCCCTACATACTGTTCTCTATTTCCTTCCTTTTATTTTCTGTCCTTTCTTCTCCTGTTTTTCTGATCTTTCTCTAGATGTGACACTTCTCATTTCTAACTTATCACTCTCAGCCTTCTATCACAGCCTTATATCACTCGCGCCCCCATTCACCTCCCAATACCCATCCCCACAGCCCAATGTCCACACACAGGACTTAGAAATGCTACTAGACACCTAAAAGCCAAAGGGCTACATCTACTAGCTAACATGCAAAAGACTGGGGTCCCTCTCCCCAGCAGCCTGGAAAATTTGAACACCCCTGTACAGTTACACAAACAAGGAGGAGGATTTTTCTCTTTTTTTTTGTTGCTCTTGCCCCTACACACCGTCCGTCCCCCCCACGCCTCCCCTCTTGAGGACTCCTGACCAAGGTAACAGCACAATACATATGCTAACAAACTTAAACAAAGGCTTTGTTAAACAAAGCACTTAAACAAATGTGCTGTTAAAGCCATTTAAAGAATGAATGCCCTCCCTAGCCATGTTCTGCTCCTTTAAGGAGCAGAGTGCAGCTCCACGCCCCCTCCGGAGTGGCGGGCCTAGCCCCAAGTCTCTCCGGTACCCTGTACCTGCTAAAACCTTGCCAGTACTGCCTACTGGAGGGTCTTTGGGAGAGGGGCTGCCTATTACTATATATCCGTATAGTATCTAACACAACGGGTTTTGACTAATAGGCACTGCTGTAATAAATAATAATTATATAAGCTGCTACACGCGGAAACAACAAAAGTTAAGTATTAGGCACAGTCCTCTGCACTACGTGGTAGTAAATCTTGTGTCACTTTCCCATTCACTTTCTTATACACAACAACCATGCAGAGTAAAAAAAGGAGAGGAAGGGGAAGAGTGAAAATGGGCATATTTGCAGAGATCTGGGATTAAACAGAATTTTTAGTGTGTGAATGCAGTATGTGTTTTCATCTTTGACCTTACTACTGCTATTAGGCAGGAGTAACTTGGCTGCCATATAGCTGTTCTCTCCTTAAAGCAGTTTGTACCTTATCTTTATTCACACGATACTCCAAATTTGTGTGGTCCATCAACCTCTTTATGGAAATTTTTCAAGCTTTAAAGACAAAGGCTGAAATCTTGGCCTTACTGGAGTCAATGGCAAAACTCTCAGTGTTTTCCTTGGGGCAGGATTTCACCGCAAGTGTCAAATTCTGCCCTCTATTACACGATTATAAATCCAGGGTAACTCCATGGACTTCAATTGGAGTACGCTAGATATATGTTAGTGTAAATGAAAGCAGACTAGATTTCAAAGTTTGTAATGCTATGATTCCATTTTCCCAATTCTGCATGTCAGAGGCTAGATGAGGGCATGAATCTATATAATACAAGTTGTTTAGAGAATAAGGTGTATCTTCAACCTTTTACACAAAGGTTCTGTTTATATTAAAATTTGCTACATAAAAATTGCTGAAAATTTTGCTTTTGCAAGAGAATACAATGTTTTATGATTATATTGCTTTTTAATTCCAAGGTGAATGTTTTAACACTTCTAAAAAAGGCAACTGTGTATGCCCTTCAAAGTAATTAGCAAGTTTCAACAGTGATTGGTACAAAACAATTATTGTCATTGATCAGCACCGAACAGATAATTTTAAACAAAGTCATTGTGTGCTCAGCAGATTACAGCTTGTTAACAGGCAAGTTCTAAATGACCTCTTAAGCTAGTCAAATCAATGATGCATATTCCTCATTAAGTAACATCAAAATGTAAGTGGTCTTATAAATAATGTTTATTTTAAGCACTAAAACAAATGGCAAAACCTTGATATATCAAAAGCCATCTGCTCATGGAGATTTTTTTTATTATTATTATTTTATTTTGAGGGGATTACTTTGGTTGCTGAAAATTCACAGCAACCTTATATCATCCAAACAGAAAGAGAATAATATCTCACCGCCCAATATTCAAAAAGTAAAATTGATTCATGGAAAATAAATTCAATATGATAAGCTTATGTTTTAAACCATTTCTGAATGCTTCTGTTTTTACAAAGGTGAGAGACAGATAACAGTAGCTAGGGCCAAACAATCCAGGGGCTCATAGAGATGTGGGATAGCTTCTGAACATGACCACTATGAGTATACCCTAGTGTTGAATGTTACTCCTACTATTGCAGTTTTAAGCCTTTTCCTAATGTAACTGAGGGTACATCTACACTACAGGGGGGAGTCGATTTAAGATACGCAAATTCAGCTACGTGAATAGCGTAGCTGAATTCGACGTATCGCAGCCGACTTACCCCGCTGTGAGGACGGCGGCAAAATCGACTTCTGCGGCTTTCTGTCGACGGCGCTTACTCCCACCTCCGCTGGTGGAGTAAGAGCGTTGATTTGGGGATCGATTGTCGCGTCCCAACGGGACGCGATAAATCGATCCCCGAGAGGTCGATTTCTACCCGCCGATTCAGGCGGGTAGTGTAGACCTAGCCTTACTAGGCTGATACAGTTATGAGGCAAAACACTGATTGTGTACAAGAGGTTAAGTCCATGAGTCACATTTCACTTTTAATCTAATCTTGATTTTAAAAGAATTTTCTAAAGCTTAGAGTATAATGCACTTACACACTAAAGAACCTATTCACGACTTTTATACTCCAGTTTTCTATGAATGTAACTCCACTGATTTCAATGGAGTTACACTCATGTAAAACTGGAATAAAGCAGTTATAAATCAGGCCCTATAGCAGCTATCCCTAAACCCAACAGACCTTATTCTCTACTGGCCTGCATCTTGTGCAGCCATTTACACCTGTGCATAAGGAGGCAAAATGGGTATAAAACTCTACCATATCAAAATGTTAGCATTTTACTTGCATAGGTATCAATGACTACACAAGATGTATGCAATGGAGACTCACAGCCAGTGTTTATAAGTAAATTAAAACAATTGACCAGATCTTCTATTGGTGTAAATTGATATATTTGCACTGAAGTCAGTGACGCTAGGCAGTTTTACACCATTGAAAACAATGGGACTATGCAGATTTATATCAGCTGAGAATCAGACCCAATATTATGATTACAAATGTGCAAAAAAAAAGTTTTGTTTTATGTTGCATATCAAAGGCCCTACTCTTTTCCTTTGGAGTTTTGCACAAGTATATTTGACTTGAAAATGTAACTGCTTCTGAAACCTGGGAGTGCTGAAAGAGATAAAGGATCTATTTCTGAGCTGATTTACAAATCCTGTGCTTTTCCACTGACATCAGCTGCATGAGATGTAAATCAGTGCAGCATTTATTCCATTGTAGAATACTTTTAAAACAGCTATTAACTAAGCAATAAACTAAAACAAAATATGTATTTCTGGGCAATTGGAGCCTACTCACAAAGGGGGTAGGATTTGCCCCTAAGCGTCTTCAACTCCTAAGATATGTACCAAGGGTGAGATTCTGTGCTATGACTTTGAGAGAATCAGCACTGAACTCACAACCCAGAGGAAGAGGTGACTAAATTGGTTTAACTCACTCTTGTGCCCTCCCAACCTTGGGCTGCTCTAAGGGTGATAGAGGCCCTTGGTATAACCTAAAAAGCTCCAGAGGTCTGTTACAGCAACCTCCCAAGGCTGCCCTATGCGGATTTCCATGGCACTGCATGTTGCGGTCCTGACTCCAACATACCCCCTATATCAGGGCTGGCGATGGAATCCTTAGAATAAAGCCTAATGCCTGGCTTCTGCAGTTCCTGCATCAAGGAAATCCTCCCCCATACACATATCAGGCTTTTAGGGCCCTTTTACACCACTCTGGCCCTTTTATGCAGAGTAAAGAGGCCGGAAAGGAATGAAGATCTCATTCTAAAGACTATTTATGTTCTTAAAATTACACATGTGCTTAAATGTATTGTTGGATCGGGACCCAATGGCCCAGGAATGCAATACTTTACACTGCTAACCACTTATGTAATGGATACAATAGATTTTGCAGTTTTCCCTTTGACAAACGTTATTATTCTCTGTTTTTATTAAATGAAGTACAAGGATTGTTTGCATCCTTCTTTCTCTAAAGAATCACTGATTACATCATCACTGAGGTCAGCACAGTTCTGCCTATGTATTTAGTCAATTAACTTGTGTTCACTTTGCCAGCTGGATGACTGCTTCTGCAGCAGTAGAATAAATAAATTATGGGGCCATGCCATGCACTAATATGTATCCATGTTTTCTCTTACAAAAGGCATATGCAGCAGAGTATTTTCCTGTATTTCCTGAGAAAAAATAGTTGCAATATTATTAACTAATGAAGTAATTACACTGTCCATTACAAGACCAAAGATACCATCATATGATAGGTTTCAGAGTAGCAGCCGTGTTAGTCTGTATCCGCAAAAAGAACAGGAGTACTAACAAATTTATTAAAGCATAAGCTTTCGTGGACTGCATCCGAAGAAGTGGGCTGTAGTCCACGAAAGCTTATGCTCTCATAAATTTGTTAGTCTCTAAGGTGCCACAAGTACTTCTGTTCTTTTTTCATCATATGATAGCTGCTCAGTAACCTGTGTGAAATGCATTTTATGGTCCCAGTCTGGTTCCTAGGGAACAAACATACATATTGCACAAACTATCACTGCTATTTGCCACCCTTGGTGGCAGTTTCATCAGAGACAAATGGGTCTGGAGACTGAACTACCCCAGCCATCTAGAGGTTTCTTTAGATCAGGGCTGACGCACATTAGCAGGGGTTTTGTGAGAGAGGCTTGCACTGTCACTGCTCATGTATCTGTTCTGTGCCACGGCTATCAATCCAGAACCTTTCAAAAGCATTAAAATTCACAACGATACATAAAGTCTGCTGTGTTCTTACCTCCTCTGTGGAGAACTAATACAATTCAAAAGAATGAGATGCTTATTTACACTGCACCTCCTCCTACTGTGAAACTAAAAATGAAGGCGGCGGGAAGATATACATAGGAAATTAGGAAGTTATTGTTTCAAAGCATTTCTGTATGATATCTATAAAAATGCCACAAAAGTTTATTAAAATTTCATTGAAATTTTTCTCAATGACAGCTTCTAGCAGCTGAATGAGAGTTTAGAGGGAGCTCCATATTGATTGATCTTGAAAAATAATGTTAAAATTATTCACTTTTTCTTAGTTTTTGATCTGTATTCCTGCAGTATAAGGATGAAGACTGTGACCGCTGTCTGTGTTTCACTTCCTCTCAAAGATAGCCAATAGCCTCTATGCTCCTCCTACACATTGGCTCACTGGTCCACATCTCAACCAGTTGTAAATATGTCTAAGTTAGTAGCCAAAGGTAGAGACAAGAAATGCACAACTTAACAATTAAAATTTAAAAAGATGTTTTTTCATATGGAACAATCAGACATATAACAGAATTAGAATATCCTAAATTTATCAACCAGACAAGGTCTGGCTATTCATTAACTATCCTTGAAGGTGTTACAGGCTATTAATGTCTACTCCACTCAGTTCTTTCCTGATTAAAACCACAACGTTAGAAAAAACAACCATTCTTAGTGTTGTTATAAGTTTATTTTAATTGGTCCAAATGTATTTTGCAAATGGATTCAATCAGACACCCTATCAATTTATGGGGCTAATGGGCTCTATGAATATTAAACTACTGCATTTAATAAAAGTTGAAATACGACAGCGGCTAATATGACGTACTATCATATTATCTAATGATACATAAATGCATGGAAGTTCTACTAATTTATTCCAAAAGAATAGAGCATAAAAGTTAAATTAAAGATGTTATAGACACAGATATCATACTATGATTTGGAGGAGTCACACAAAGTCATAGTTAACAAAGATGGGAATTCAGTTTAAGTTTGTACACACACACACACACGCATATATGTGGGTTGTTTTTTGGTATTTTTGTCTTTTATCACCATATGTTAAAAGGTACAAGAATTTACATACAAATGTCTTAAATCTAGCAGTAAATTTTCAAATACCACCAAGATTACTTAGTGTAACTTTAATTTTTAACTATATGCTATTTCCTCCCCTTTACCATCAGCATATCAATCAAGTTTATATATTCTGGTTTGCTCATTTTATTAAAAGCAAATTCGGAGCACAATTGACTTTTCATTTGTTTAACAAGTGAAGAAATATTTACCCTGACAGCCATTTCATTGTAGAAATTCATCTTCATAATAAAATATGCTGTCTGTGAATCAAGAAAAAAAAAGATGGCATACATTTCAGTTACACAAAGATAGTGCTCCTATTTTTTACATATAAAAGATAAGAATCTTTATACATAATACATAATAAGAGTTCTAGGCTTAGAGAGAATAAAATCAAACTTTACATTGAAGAGATAGGCTTCCTAATACATAATGCAGGCTTAACCAGAAAAATCTATGGTAGTCAAAGTAGGAGCTAATGGAGATATATGATCATAAAATGCTCTCCGCTGAGTTTGATAATCAATGGTGCTCTACTGAGAGTAGAATAACAAAGCAGAAATATTCACAAGTGCTGGTGACACGTAGTATTATATGATTTATTCACTGGGGTTCTTTTAGCCAAAACTCACAGAAACATAAAAGGAATTCATATTTCAAGACGTCTGGTTTAATGAAAAATTCAAAGAAATGCTGTCTTCAGTTGAAATCGTTCAACGATACGGATGCGGTGATGGAGCAAAATTGTGCCTTCCAACCATCTGTACTAAATGTTATGTACTTAGCTGCCTCCCGAGTAATTCTGGGAATTTTGTTTCATTTAATATTCATTTTAACATCATAAGATCATAAATACTATGATACCATGTTACAGCGAATCCCCTGATGTAGACAACATTTCCTAAAGCCCTGGTTTCCTTCCAATAAAGTAGAATTCCTCTCATAGTGAACGGATCCCCTGTTATACTGAACAATCACTTGGCAGCATAGGTTATTTTAATGGATACATCACTTTAAACTAAGCTTTCACATCTGTTCCGCCCTCTAATTACAAATGCAAAATGAACATAATTCACAACTGTACCATAAAAAGTAAAATATAAGTACTTTAAATGCAAGTGTACGTTCTTTATTTAGCACAACATGCGGCTTTTATGTTTTTCTCATGTTTTAGACACAAATCAAAGGCAAAAGTGCTTTCCCCTGATATAGTGAATTTTTTCCCCCATGGCAAACAGGAATTCACTATAAAAGGGTTTCACTGTAATTAGTGTTATTTGAATTGCCTACTCTGATCCAAAGCAAATTGTCTGTGGAGAGCAGCAGGACTGGATTATTTATCAACAGTCTGGGCAATTAAGAAACAGTTGGCTGCAATATGTTATTTACAAATGAATACAATGATGCTACTTCATTTTAAATTCTCTTTCTTCATTACATTAAGTAAGGCATAAGTCCTGCAGTTTAATTAAAGTGAATTTTAAATACTTACTTTAATATTATACTGCTTCACTAATAATATAAACAGAAACAATTGCAAAGATGCCATTTTTATGCAGAAAATTGCAGGAATTCTAATGTATTAAATTTGAAAACGTTTTGCTTTCTATGGACGTTCAAACAGCAGCTCAACTCCAAAATTATGAATTAGAACAGTTAATGGCATCTGTCTTAACTTTTCTCTCCATAAATCTTTCATGAATGGTGTTAGCTGTAGACTACAAATATAGCAATGAAATAATGCATTCCATTCCCAGGAATATTCTGAAGCTGTTAGATTAAATGGATTCAATTTTGCTTCACCTCTCATCTTTTCCAAATTTGGTAAGAATGCAAAAGCTGGTACAGCCAGTTTATGAATTATTTTTTTGTTGGAAGTGGCCAGGGTTTGGAAATGACCTTGGGGCTCCTGTTTTGCCACTGAGCAAGAATAGTTTAAAACACCTTTTTGGCTCCTCTCCTGATCTGCTGAGGGAATTCCACTTCTGCATGCTGAGGACGCTTACACTTTTGAGCCAGAACACTATTAAGGAAGGTGACTCTCGTAAAAAGAGACCTTATAATAGCCTGCTCTTACAAGAGCATGGGACTATGGCACAGATCAGTCACATGGAGAATTACCCAGACAACTTCCCTTGCTTCACAATACTATACCTGAAATGGAGAGAAAAGAGGGGGCCTATTCTCCCTTCTCAAAACGTATGTCCTGGCTGACTCTCCAAATCCTCTCACAATGAAAAAAGCCCCAAGTGTCCACATCAGGAGGCAAAAACCTTCTACCTAGGGACAAATATCTCGACCTCCCCTCTCTTTTACAAACCTCTTCCTCTGACAAGAGTAACAAGCCCTTCTCTCAGCTGATTAAACTGTCATGCATCCCCCTTATGCCCAGTGACAAATAATCCTGCAAGAACTGTTAAGTTTCATACATACAAAGTTTTGGACCTTACAACTTTAGGAGCCTAACAACTCAAGTTCCACAGAGTGTAGGAGCCAGCCAAAAGGGTAGCAAGCTTGTTTCATAGCAGAGGTAACTGGTCAGCATCCTAAGAGCTAATTGATCAGGAGTATGGAGGATATAAATAAGACAGAGAGAAAAGTTTGCTCATCTACATATAACAGTATTTTAACTTTTTTCATTGTACAGGTGATTATGGAAAAAGAGAATGAAGGAAGTAAGAACTGAAATGAAGAAAGGAAATGTTAATTACAGCTTATGATCCTAGAGGAAAAACACCTGATCCTCTAGTAGTAAAATGGAAGCATCCCATCAAGCTTCTGGGTCCCAAAATGAAAAAGGTAAAGAAAGTGAGACAATTTTTTCTAGCATTTTTGTCTCTGGATATTAGCCAGACTGGCACTTATATAGTGAACAATATTAATTAAATCTATATGGTGGAATATGGAGTTGAGTCATTCTAGATAGAGCAGTTTAATAATTGGTGTTCCCTTGGCTGCTATAGCAATTAATGTAGCTATTGTATTTTAATATTCTAGATTTGGTCATTAAATAATACACATTTTCTTGGTTGTTCTAAGCTGATTTAAAAGATACATAGAAATGCTGAGAGTAAGTAACTTCTAAAAGGAAACAAATGCTAACGAAGAATCCTCTCTCTGTCTTTTTCCACCTCCAAACACTTTGTATATGCGTCCAGAATGTGTGACTATGCAACTATTGGATCACTCTCTTTTATGCTAAACAGACACTTTCTTTACTTTCCATATGAGTGAAATCCCGAGGCCCATAACACAATGCCATGTGTATAGTTTCATAGTACAGGGTGCTGAATACAGATGGGTTAAGCCACATTTTCCTGCATGCTACAAAGACAGGCTCTGCAAGCCTATTAACCAGGGATGTGAAGGGTGTCATGTATGGTGGAGATGTGGCCGATGGTGCACCATGTGCACAGACCTGCTAGCCACAGCCATCACACAGGACTCAGCAAGTTGTGTATGCTACCAGAGGTTAAAGGCCATAGTGGTGATCATGGTTCACCTGGGAAGATGATCCATATATTGCTTCTGGGTTTAGAGAGGGAAAAGTCTGTTTTCCTCGTTCAACTGTTCACTGATTACCAGCTCAAAGTCTGTATGGACCCTTTTAAACAATAGACTTTCTATTTCAGAGGAAAAAAACAGAAAGAATTCTACCAAGTGCATTTAATGTCAGCTTGTTTGGCAAATGGTGTTGTCCTCCTCATTCTAACTGCAATTCAGGAAAACATTTAAGTATCTGCTTAAGTCCAATCCTATTCACGAAAGCACCAAAACACTTGCTTAACTTTAAGTATGTGCCTGTGTGCTTTCCTGAATGGGGATAATTTCCAGTATTGTGGCCTCTGTCCTGCTATAAAGAGTTTTATTACAAAATGGACCAATAACTTATAAATCGTTATGCATATCCCTGACGTTAGTATGTAGGGCCTCCTGGGGGTTTACTTCCAAAACATAGCACTTCTAGAAATTATTTTTGAATTCCTCTATAAGTAAATAACAGCACAGTTATCTATCATCATCAACATTCTCCTTTCCTCTCTGTTCTGAAATACTTCCAGGATTCATCTCCACTAGGAAAATGATCTGTTACTGATGGGTCATTTTCCTCACATAAATGGATCCACAATGCAACTACATTCAGGGAGAAACATCTCTTCAATGGGAATTGGAATGGGGCCTAACATGTAGCCTAAGTGGTGCACAGGCCTTGTGTCACCCTTCTGCACCAATCAGTAGAATTTACCCAAGAAGTCACATTGATGGGGATTCCTCAACATGAGTTACTGAATTTGGCCTTGAGACAGCATTGAACTGTGATGTATACAAAGTATTAAAATGTTTTTAATGTAGATCTCTTCAAAGTTAGTAACAAATATGTTCATAATTTATACTGTATTTAGTTACATTGTCCTGAAGCCTTAGAATTCCTTTTATCTTACAGGGATTTCTTGCCCTGTGGGCTGTGTTTCATAGAAAAAAATCTGAGCTACTATTTAAAAAAACAAAACCCAATTCCTTTCCTGCAGGACAAGGCCCCAGACTGTGGAAGAAATTGTCCATTCAGTCCAGCTTGCATCATATGAATAACCAGAATGAACACAAAAGGTTAATTAGAACTTTAACTTGACAAAAATAGTCAGAAAAACGTATATTTTTATATCACACCTATCTTTAAAAAATAGTAAGATACATAACTAATTTGCAGGATGACTTCATAAAGTTATAAACTCAATTAATTCTATTTACTGGATTTGGGCACTATGAGGGAGGTACACTGGAATACTAACAACTGAAAATACTAGTAGTGATGCACATATGGAGAGCAGATCTGATGAACCTGAGCCTTTGCTATTTTCCGCATCAGTGCTACTTTCATTTCACAATTTTGAATATAATAATTAAAATGATTTATTATCAAGTAATCATGGGTATTTTGTGCATATGCTTTACCTTGTTTGCTGGCAACTGATACCAATCTAGTCATTATCAGCAGACAAATTTTAAAGTGACCAATTATTTTTTTATCTAACAATTATCATGTCCACCGCATCCTGTTTAATTATCATTAGAGTCATTAAGATAATTGTTAAGAAGAGTTTAACACAAATGTTACTACTATTTTAACTTAAATTTGTCCTAAATTGCTAGACCATTTCATTGTTTGAAACATTCCAAGTTGAGCCAGCCCAGTGGTTTAATAAAGGTAGCACAATATGCTAGTGCACAGACAATTTAGGCACAAGACTCAAGTTCATTCTCTAAATCCAAAGGCATAAATATGTGGGAGCAGTGAGTAAGGAGCCTACTGATTAATAGGGAGAAAGATGCACCTGATATCATTCTGCAGAAACTCACATGGCTAACTCAGAAGTTGTACTGACAAACTCCAGAAGTTGTCAAATCCAATCCTCCTCAGCCAAATTGCTGTTAAGTACAACATAAGATACTGAGGGGGTGAAGTTCTTCCATGCTCACCACTGTGCAACTGAGAAGCCTTATGGGGTGTTTTTGTTTCTCTTTTAATCATCTGGCATTGGCTAGTACCAGAAACAAGATGGATGAATCATCTGATCTAGAATGGTAAATCCTATTATCCTGTCTTTTAAATATACAGGCTGTTTTGCCTTTATTTGTCCTCTATCACCTTCCAGAACTTCAGGGGAAGCTTGAGTCTCTAGAGCCTATATAATTTGAAAAGTCTCCATTTGAAGCAATTTCATCTTGTGCATGAGAGAAATTGTCTTTTAAATCCATCCTTCAGACTGATGCTTTGCTGCTCCCACCATTTTCTAATTTCTTGACCTCAGCTTCAAGATACCTGCTTGCCCCCATTGCTAGTTTTTCTCTCCCATCATTGTTACTGTTTCTGCCCAGTTCAGTACATAAACTGGGAGACTTAGAAAATGATGTGCCCTGCACAAAGTGTGTCACAGTAACCACAGTTAAAACCACTTTTCATATGTTAAGAACTTTCGCAGATGCTATGTAATTAATGTAAAGGGTGGAGAGCTGGTTTATTTTTATTTTAAAATAATGTTTGTTATTCTGACAGACTGAAGGGAATTTTGTGTTAATTCGAAAGAGACTCACTCTTGTCACAAAACTGAATTGCTAGGGCAATTCTTTGAAGAGAAACAATAGAAAGAGAATCAGGCCACTAAGAGCTGAGGTCAAACAGCCTCAAAGGGCAAGGCAATATGCAGGGCACCACTGGTGAAGAACAGTCTTGCAATTCCTCCTCCATGTCCCCACCCAGCAAAATGATGATGTGTTGTTCCCTTTGTGCCCCATTTGAGAGCTCTACATCAGAAACTTTGTCAGTCTGTGTAACCACTCTCAACGCACCTCCCACATATACACCGCTACCTCGATATAACGTGACCTGATATAACACAAATTCGGATAGAACGCAGTAAAGCAGTACTCTGGGACGGGGGGCAGGGGGAGCTGCGCACTCCGGTGGATCAAAGCCAGTTCAATATAACGCGGTTTCACCTATAATGTGGTAAGATTTTTTGGCTCCTGAGGACAGCGTTATATCGGGGTAGAGGTGTATATATAAAAAAATGACTGAACATCAGATGATGCCATTACTATGTTAGCCACAAACTGATTATTGTCTACCAAAAGATTGGCATTTGAATATGTGAATGTCCAGAGATATCTGCCTGTGTAGATCTGGTGATCTGAACAAAAAGTGACATTGACCTGAGTGCAGAGGGTCAACATAAGGCCTATGTGCCACCTGTGTCCTACTAAAGCCCTCAAAATAAGTCTGTGGTCAGGTGCAAGAAACAGAGACTGTTGTTCCTTGGTTCTGATTCTTGAATGTCAAGATTAAATTGCCATCTTCAGAATTTTACTGTATATGTTTTTGAGATAAGTCCAATCCTATTTTTGTTAACTGTTTAGAACATTCACCGGGGGGTGACTATATACCACTTAAGTCCCACTAAGCACACATAGTCACTTTTCAGAAGAGAACTCAATTTAAGCATGTAGTTATCCATTCGCCACAAACAAATTGCAATAAGATAGGAAGTTCCTTGAAAACATGGCCCATAAAGATGACTCAGTCTGACTAACTAGCTGATCAACCAGTGGGGAACAAGTCAACGGTATCTGAACTATTATTATTTAGTACTCTACATTTTTTTCTTTCTGTGTATTTTTATTTCTATATTGAAAAACAACAATTTGGCTTCAATAAAATTAGTCAAGAATAAATGAAGAACAAATTAGATTGGCTGTGATCTGCTGTATGCTCCAAGGCAAAACCTCAAATATTTCAAGGTTCATGAAGTAAGAAATTTAAACCACTAAAACACAGAATAGCAATGTGTAGAGTTGTTAACTTATTCCGTTTTTTTCAGAATTAAGAGTACTGCCAGGAAAACAGCACTTCCAACCAAAAGTCTGTTTCCTGCAATTAGCTCAACACAGACAGACTTTTGCAAGTGCAGAGCTCATTGCTGGATTGAAGCCTAAATCTCCAATCCTGCAAACAGGAATGCATGTGCTCAACTTCACTACCATGAATAGTCCTATTGAAATCAATAGAGCTACTCACGGTAGTTAAGTTAAGAATATGCATATGTGTATGCAGGATCGGGGCCTAAACTCTCAACTTTTGGACTAGACCCAGGGGCAAGTTAATGAACAGCTGTACATTTGGGTGATAAAATATTTAAAATAATTGTAAAACCCATTTGTTACCTCCACCATTTTTCTGAAGTGTTTTCTTCCTTGATAGCCTCTCCACCATTTCTGGATATTAATCATCATTTTGTTCAGATACCTAAAACAAAATATTTTGATTACAAATGATTACATTGAAAGAATAATATAGGCAATGCTGTATGTTGTCTATACTTATTCCAAAAAGTGGGTTACAGCAAACTTACTTAAATTTAATCTTATAAAAGTTATTCATTATTAAGCATTACAAAATAGACTTAAGAATGGGTGTTTGTGTGACTGGTTAAACAATTCATGGAGAATACAGTTAATACTTCTGAATGGTCCAGAACTTTTGTTGGTCAAATAGGAAAATGTTGAAAACTGAAAAATTTCTAAAATTTTCAGTTTGGGAGTTGTAGAAAATTTGACAATAAGGAAACATGTTTTGGCTTTGTTGATATTTCTCCAAGGGGAAAAAAAAATTCCCAGCCAGTTTAGGTGCTGGCATAACAACTTTGCTTTGCTTCCTAATACATTATGAGACAGCCCCAAATCCTGCAAAGATTTATGCATATGACTGCACTGAACCTTAAGTGGGGGAATTGTCCAGCTTGCCAGGGGATGGAGAATAGTGCTTTTCTAATGGGGGTTAGGAGACGGGCTTACAAGCTTCTGTAAAAGGGGGAATAGGTCAGTATGGCGATGCTGACTCATCCCCAGGGACTGGAAGGGCTGAGGAATTGAAAACGGGTGAGTCTGGCAAGAGAAGCCCCTTTCCCTCACACCAGGCAAAGCAGCACCTACCTTCCCTCCCCTTGAGATGACAAACTACCAGGTATGGTCAGGACCTGCCGTGGGCATCGTGCTAGCCACTGCTTTGTAGGGGGACTGGAAAGGAATTTCTCCCTAACCACCAGATTGGCCTAGGTGGAGTCTAGTTTTTTTCACCTTCCTCGCAGCAGGTTCAGGGAGGGCTTTGTTATGGTGAGTCAGGAAGAGAGTTAGGCTTTGATGTTGCAACTCATTATGTAAGTGTGGGGCAGATGTCCAGTGCAGATACTCCATAAGAAAGGGATACAGTGACCAGATAAATGGCTTGGCAAAGGAATTTAAAAGGATGTGGTTTGTGAAAGGAGTGGAATTGGGGAGGGGGTGTTGGGGTTCCTATGACTGATACAGCAGGCATGACTGGCATGGCACTCCTATGACTGACAACCCCCTCTTTCTTATAACCTACCTTAACCGAGGGGGGGGGGGGCAGGATGCTAAGGTCCCAGCAATGGGTTGGCTGGGCGACCTGGATAGAAAAGAGGGGAACTGGCAGATGTTTCTGGGTAGATACTGCATGATCATGGAGCTACCTGCACTTTTATCTACCGGGTAGTCCCAGACAGCTAATAATAAAATTGCAGCCTGATTCCAACCATATCAAGTGTCTCCTGTCCTTCTTTTGGTATTGTCGGACAATGACTAATTTAAACATGTGTGTAGTCCCATTGTTCCCAAGTATGTAACACTTTGCAGAACTAGGACCTCAGTTTTTAATTACATGATCACATGCTATTTCTCAAATAATAATAATACCTAGCAAGCCAGAGCCAGCAATAGAACCCTGGTCTCTTAAGTCAAAGGCTAGTGCTTTATCCAGTAGGCCACATCATACAATTCTTTTCACATTATCCACAAAATCTGAGGAAGAAAAGTTTGTACAATAGGCACTCTTGATGCACAACATGCCATTTTTTTTCAAGTCAAACTCAGATATCCCTAGAATACTGAAAGAGTGTTCTTAAAAAAACGCTATTTCCATGCCATTCGTCAACTTTTGGACCTCAGCAATTTTAGCTGTACAATTTTTTAAAAAGTCACAAGGATTTTTTGCAATGGTAATGTACATATTTTTATGCTACTCAAAAACAGAATAATCGTTTTTGTTCACATTTTACAGAAACATTCACTTTCAGAGAGAGAGAGAACAAGCTAAGTATAATATGTGAGAATTTTGGAAAGTTCTGAGTGACTGAAAAGATGGGTTAAAATAGAAAAAAAAAATCATAATACCTGATGTATGCTCGGACCCTGCAGCCTCGAAACCAGCTCTGGATTTGTACAGCAGCATTGTGCTCTGCTTTTCTGTATTCATCTACAGCTCTGAAAACATTTTTTCAAAATAATCTCTTTGTGATTAGCATTCTCAGTAGTTTACTTTAAAATCAAAACAATAAATCAGAGGGATTTTTTTCATCTAAATTTTTTCTTAACGGGACAACTTGTGTTCTTTTTAAACCTTTCTTCCCCCTCACCCCCCAGCTTAACATATTACCATTCTTAGGAATGATGCAAAACAAAATATCCCGTGATGATTAGATAGTATAGAGATAATTAAAGCCCCAATCTTGCAAGGACAACAGTGCAACGGCTCTGCTCTATTTTAAGGATTTTATTATAAACAATATAAAACATCTTTGTTAACATTCGTGGGATGGGAACATAAAGTAACAGAGGAGACCAGAAATCATGCAGGATGAAGAAAGAAGGCTAAAAATAATTTTACGTAAAAAAATGTAAAACATCCCAGTTGATGGGATCCAGATGGATCCTGGGTTTTTTTGTTTTGTTTTTTGTTTTTTTAAGGAAACATTAAAAAGATTTTTTGGGGTAAGCTACTGCAGCATTAGAGGAGTTGTAATTTGTGTGCTGACACATTAATTTTATGTGCTTTTGTCTAATGCCTGAGAAACATAGTTCCCAGGTACATGTGATATTGAACAATGATGCCAATATGTTATGAACTTCTAGACTTCTTATGCTTTAAATGAAAAATGTGGATAACACTTTATTTTAATTAATTAGTGCTGAATTACAATAGAAATCCTATAGAGGTACATAAAATATGACATTAACATGAATATCAGATAAATTCACTATGATCAGTATTATCACAATGAGTATTAAATGAATTAATTATGTAGAAGTAAGGGCCGGATCCATAGCCCACTAAAATCAATAGAAAGACCCATTGACTACAATAAGGTTACATCAGGCTCTAAATGTGTTACCAAAGCTGTACTGAAGCAGCATACAGTGAAAAAAAGGCTGGGAGGTCGTTGTCATCTTAATTAAAAGTATCTACTATAACTATTGAAAATCCAGTTCAGGCTGAAACATTTTCAAGATAGGTGACTCTGGAAGAAGAGGTAGAATTAGACAATCTGGTGAACAATTCATTTGTCATTTCATACATCACAGCCCTACTTTTCAAATATTCAGCACATATTGCTTAACAGCTATTTCATGGGAAATGTTCAGTGAGATGAAGATGATACTATTAGTTCCTCACCAATACTAGAATTTTCACAATAGGCATGGAGAAGCATGTCATGGATGAGTTTTGGAGACGTCGTAGAGGGCAAAATGGTAGGATTCAGAGATAGCATCACTGTGTGCTGTGGGAGGGGGAAGGGAAGAAAAGAGTACAAAAGTATGATGATGTTGCAAGCCCAAGGAACGCAGAATCTAATGGAATTGCCAATGGTAATGAAGAAGGGAGGACAAGGGAGGTTTGGGGGGAAAGATAAGGATTCAGTTTTCAATTTCTGGTGGAGGCAGGTCATCCAGGAAGAGATGTTGGTGAGGCAGCTGAAGATATGAGATGAGAATAGGCAGAGAAATCGAAGGATACAGGTAGGTCTGAGAGTTGTTAATGGTAAAAGCTGTATGATAAATTAGGAAGTCTAAGTATAAGGTAGTTGTAAAGAAGAGAAGAGGGCCAAGTGCAAAGACCCTAACGGAGATTCTTAAGGAGCATTCAGACAGATAGTGCCAGAGAGAGAGACAAGGGAGAGGCTGTCTATTAGGAGAGCCATAACTGTGTCAAAGGTAAAAGACACATCAAGACCAATAAGAATGGGGAAGAAGACTTGCTACTTGGCCAGAAAAACACCATTAGTAACATTGTTAAGGGCAGTTTCAATGCTGAGGGGCAGAAACCAGCTACAAGATCATTTCTAGTTTCTGTTTAATTATATCTTTTCACAATAAAGTATCAATTAACAATTATTAAATTGCTGAACGAAACTATTTGAAATTATACTTTAATCTTTATTGAAGCATTACAATCGCATTTTTATTATTTACTATCACCTTTTTAAATTATTTTCTTATTGCTTCTCCAAACTGCCCCCAGCACATTTATTTGGGTTAGAAGAATCTCATTATTTAAAGTTTGCAATAAGGTTTTGCTCTTTGAAAGTGATCTGTTCTGTTGGTATGTAATTTATTGTACTAGTTGGTAATTTCTTCTTTACATCTTCATATCGGACAGATATTACTCTTCCACTCTTTCTTGTCACCATTGTACTAGATCTGGTTTGATAGCTCCGTATGTCGCTTGAAAGTTACTGTATCTTTTGTTCTATTTTCTCTTGTAATGTTTATCTTTTGGTAGTGAAGAGCCCTTGCCAACACTAGAAAGATAACAATTGGAGCTAGGGTTTGGTTTTCACCTTTCAAACTGCACATTCGGTTTGAATGTCAAGGGTTATCTTTACTCCATTCACAAACATTTACTGTGACTTATGCTTCCAAGTAACTTTCAATAACATGAAACCAAGGCAGACACAAAATAAATGTTATTTAATGCACTTTCATTACCTACAGTGTTTTGGATATACACATACAATGTATTTTGAACATGGACTACATTGAGAATAACTTCACCCAAAACTGATTTCAACTCACAATATTATGGCACTAGTCAATATAATTATTACTGACTCTTTTATTATCTGAATCTGCAAAAGTGATTTAATTGTGAAATTCTTAGAGAAAATAGGAGTGTATCGAAGCCACACAAAAGTCTTGAAGCAGCAGACCAAGGTAATTAGCATATCAATATATTTAGCAAACACAGCAAATTACACAAGTCTGATATTGTCACCTATTAAAAATCTCAAAGAGATGGACATAATTAATTCCGTGTCCCTTTTATATTTTAAATATATGTGTCAAAAACACAAATATGGGTGACTGTTTTTGCATTTTTAATTGGCTATAGCTGTAAGAAGCACGTAAATTGTCTACTTAGGTGTGCGAGCGGTGTGTCCAGAGGTTACAGCTTGAACTGCAAGTCAGGATTCTGGACTCTATTCCAGGCTTGCCACTGACACACTGTCCTTTAGCAAGTAAAGGACTGTCCTTTCCATACCTCTCTTTATCAGGAATAGGGAGGTGGTATTATCTCTGTATATGGCATTAGGGAGACCATGAGTGGAATACTGTGTCCTGTTCTGGTATCCACACTTCAGAAAACATATTGACAAATTGGAAAGGTTTCGGAAAAGAGCTACAAGAATTATTTGAGATTTGAAAAATAGGCCTTATAGTGAGAGATTTAAGCAGCTCACTCTATTTAGTTTATCCAAGGAAACATTAAGAGGTAACTTGATCACAGTGTACAAGCACCTACACAGGGGAGAGAGTACAGATAGTAGACGACTTTTTAATTTAGAGGAAAAAGGCATAATAAGATCCAATGGTTGGAAGCTGAAGCTAGACAAATTCAGACTAGAAATAAAGCACATTTTTTAAACAGTGACGCTTATTAACCATTGCACCAATTTATCTAGGGACATAATGGATTCTCCATCACAAGACCGGATATTTTTCTAAAAAATAGTGATAGCTCAAATAGAAATTATGGGCTTGAGGCTGAAATTACTGGGTGAGGTTTTATAGCCCCTGTTGTACTGGAAGTCAGACTAGATTGTCATAGTGGCCCCTATGAAATCCCTTGACAAAATAGGTAACTATTTAAGCACCAATATTTTGCTTAGCTCTGGATGAGACATTATTCTCTTCTCTACGGACCTTACCATTTAAATAGTGTGTTGTATAAAATGCTCAGGAAACTCCAGGAGTGGATGCTAATTTAGAGCTGTTAGTTATATATATTATTTTAGTGAAGAATTTGGGACACCATTTTTGTGGTATAACAACACTTTCCTTAATAAGCAGAATTACTATTGCCTTTGGTTTCTACAAGGGATTGCCCTGAGAATCATTGTCTGAGCTTATGAAACACTAAGTCACAAAAAAGTGTTCCCCCAGAAGAATGATATTTTGTTGTGCCGCGATGCTAGCGTAGGGTGACCAGATGTCCCGATTTTATAGGGACAGTCCCGATTTTTGGGTCTTTTTCTTATATAGGCGCCTATTACCCCCCACCCCTGTCCCGCAACATTTTGATATAATGTTGCAGTGCGGTAATATGGCAACATTTTCACATGGCATGATAACTGTACGCTCTTTGGGACACAGACCGCCTTTTATTCTGTGCCTAGCCCCAGGGGGTCCTGATTCTAATTGGGGTTTAAGGGTGCTCGGGGAATATAACTATTAAGCACTGACAATGATCTGAGAGTGCTAACTGGACATGGCAATGTCCCAGTGACAATGCAACACTGCGCTGGTGCAATGTGGTGACCTGGGGACGTGCCATGGGGGTGATCTCGCAATGTGCCACCATCATTTGGAGAACCTGTGTCCCATCCCAGTGCGCTGGCCTGGCTCTTACCAGTGCTCCTCCCCAGAAGGGAAGTGCTGTGAGGCCAATACAGAGCCACGGGGGCGGGGGCAGCGGGCCCGTTACCTGTTCCTATGGAAATATTCCTCCCTCTGGCCTGGCAGCCTCCTTTGCAGCCTGGCCAAAGTGGCCATGTTCCCCCTGCCCTGATGGTGTACAGGCCGTCACCATGGCAACCAGACCGTACCACATGGCTGAGGGGGAGGTAATTCCTCCCTACAGGCCCCGCCGGCCGGGGTGGGGGAGAAGGTAGGACACGGTGGAGTGCTGGGCGAAGTGGTGAGCGAGACCCGGAGCTATGGGCCCCCGAGCTCCCTCCCGGCAGCGGACCGCGGGCGGGGAAGGCAGGAGGGATGGTTGGGCCCTACTTCCTGCCGGCGCTGTAGCCGCTTCCGGGCTCCTAGCATGGGGGAGTGAGGCGCGGGCAAAGAGCGATCCCGACACCCCTTCTCGCTCGCCCGGCTTCGGCCGCCTCCCCGAGTCTCTGCGAAGCGGCATCAGCTTCCCCGGGGAGCGGCCGGGGGAGGCGCCGGGTTCATGTTCCGGGTCGCTGAGCCCAACCCGACCCGAGCTCAGGCGGCGAGAAAGAGCTGGTGAGGCCGGGCTGGACGGGGGCGAAGGTGGCCGGCTGGCCGGAGGGGGGTGGCGGCGGCAGCTCCGTGGTTTGGAGGCAGAAGCTTTCCCGGTGGGGCCACAGTGCGCTGAGCGAGAGCTTCCTGGGGCTGGGGGGAGATTGTGGGTTTGGGCCGCGGGCTGGATTCCCGGTCTCTGGAGTTGCTCCCTCTAGACGCTGCTATCCCGTTCCTGCCACGAGTGACTCCTCCTTGGGGCTCATACCCACACGTCTCCAGAGCATCTGGTGCCAGGTGGCAGGTATTTTATTTAAAAACGTTGCCGCTTAGGCGTAGTTTGACTTCTATATTGGGGGGGGGGGGTCTCTAGTCAGGAGAATGGGGCATGCATGGAGGAAGCAAATTCCGTGCCTTTCGGGGGTTTGCCGTTTGAGGGAGCAACGCCCCGCTGCCCGTCCCCAAACTACGCCCTTGCTCTGCCGTAGAGACTCATTTCTCCTCTCTTTTACCAAACGTCTCCGCTCTCCTTTCTGAACCCTCTCCCTCCCCTTTTGCCTATTGGACAGTGTGGCTGCTGGTTACTGCCAAATTGTTGATGATATCCTTATAAAGGGGATTGAAGACATGAACTATTGGCAGATTTGTCACATGAGGTCTTTCACCTTTCAGTCACCTGCTATTTTATGGGTGAACAGTGGGCTGTGTGCAAAAGGATTTGCTGCTCCCAGACCAGAAGATAAAACCCCATCACCTCAAACGTGTTGTTTATATTGTATTAGAACCTGAAGGGCCTGGTTCCTTTGTGATAGCTGCATTGTAAATACACATTTAGACATGTTCTCTGCCCTGAACACCTTAAGTTTTATCTGAAACAAGACTCAACAAGTGGGCATTGCAAACAATAGTCAGAAAAGAAAAGCACAGCAGTCATGTGTTCCCACCGGATAGTTCTGACGTAGTAGTTCCAAATAATTTACTTTTTTTGTTGGAGTGGCGTAAGGGGAATTTGACAAAGGAAGTAGAAAAGGAAAGAAAGGGAAGAGTGGTATATGTATGAGTGGAGAAGAAAGGGAAAGTGGGAGGGAAGGCTAGAGGGCCATGGAGGGTTGAAAGTGTTCCATTGGCAGTAGAAGACCAGAGAGGGATAGAAAGAAGATGGGACAAACAGCCAATTGACAGACAAAATGCATAGTTCTTTGCAGTGTTGTTGTAACTATGTTGGTCTCAGGAAATTAGAGAGATGAGGTGAATGAGGTAATTTTTTTTTTTAATTGGACTAACTTCTGTTGGCAAAAGTGACAAGCTTTTGAGCAGCAAACAGCTTGAAAGCTTGTCACGTTCGCCAACGGAAGTTGGTCCAATAAAAAACTCTCCCTAAAATGAATAATGTCCACAGTCCAAACTGAGAATGCAGACTGCTGATATCACCAATATTATGAGAAGGTGTTGAAGATCCAACGACAACTGGAGCATTATAGAATTTTATACTGGGTTGTTAATGAAAACTTCATGTACTGGCCCATGGTTTTCTGCATTAAATGTTAGAAGCATCCTGGTAGAAAACATTGTGCAACCATCATGTAAACCTTTCTTTGCATTGAGTTAAGAGGAAGCTTGAGGTGTGGGAAATTTTATGTGACCACTACACCAAACGTTGATTAAGAAGTGTTAAGATTCTTGTGTTGTTAACTTTGTATTGGGTGCATAAAGTTTTCCTTTCCTTACACGCTTTTCACTTTTTTGTATCATTCAGAAAATAAGTTAGTTTCAAAACAACCAAAGAAAACCTTTAAAGGTTCATTACAAAGACTGGAAATGAACACAAGGATGCTACAGTCCCACTGTTATAATCAGATCTGTTAGTGTAAACCAGGATTGTAGGATGGGGGCCATATGTCTTGTGGCTCCTTTCCGGTCTCTTCATGCAAACAGCATTATTATTAAAATTCTTGAGATTTTATACTACTATACCACTAAAACTGCTCAGCAGTTTTTGTTCTAAATTAATCAAGGAATTGTTGGAAAAGTTTAGTGTTGGTTTAGAATGGAGTTAAAGGTTAGAGGAAGAATAACAAGGAAGGTTCCAAGCTAGGAAAACAAATTATGGTAGAGCTTCCACCTCTAGTGGTGACCAGGTTACACAGATATTTATTCTGGGGGTGGTGCGTGTGTGCGTGCGTGTGTGTGTGTGTAGCATATTACACACACACACACATACACACTGTGGTCTTGGAGGAAAAGTGTACCAAAGTAGTTTTCTTTTAATTGGACAAAAATAAGATATTGTACTCAAACTTTTGAGCCAAAGAGAGATGTTTCAAAGGCAAAACCAAGTGAAATACCTCTAATTAAAAGTTTTGTTATCTTACTGTTGTAAATAGTTTCCCAAAAATTCTGTGAAAATTATATTTGCTATTCACAGGAGTCATGAAATAATGTATATCCTGAAAGAGTTGGCACTCTGAGACAGCACAGTAACATATTTCACATCCGACGAAGTGGGTATTCACCCACGAAAGCTCATGCTCTGATACGTCTGTTAGTCTATAACAGGGGTTGGCAACGTTCGGCAGGCGGCTCGCCAGGGTAAGCACCCTGGCGGGCCGGGCCAGTTTTATTTACCTGCTGACGCGGCAGGTTCAGACGATCGCGGCGGGCCAATGGGGGCGGTGAGAAGCCGTGGCCAGCATATCGCTCACCCGCGCCGCTTCTCGCTTACCCTGGCAAGCCGCGTGCCGAACTTTGCCGACCCCTGCTCTATAAGGTGCCACAGGACTCTTTGCTGCTTTTACATATTTCACACTGATAACTAATAGATTGTATGTCCTCTATTTTACTTTTATGAGTGATAACATACTACAGTCCCTTTCTTTTAAAGAGGCAGGTTATAATTGTTACTAACTACTACTGAATGATCAAGCCATAATGCTAACCTTGACTGTAAGTGCAGGGTTTTATGGAAGTTGGCTATACTGGCCCAAAGAGATTGCCCAGAACAGTTTGGTATAGAGAGAAGAATCCAAAATCTAGTTATCTTTTTGAATTATAGTTTGCCAGCTCTGGAGGTCTGCTAAATATACTTTGGACTACACCTCAAAACTATTCGCCCTTCATTCCTCTGTACATAGGTTATCCAGGAAGCTGTGCTTCAATGGAAATCTATTTTAGTAACATTTGTAATATTAAGGAACCAAAGAAAATTAATTTATCATGATATAGTACTTGACCTTCTGCGGAAGCCATACCTTTAAGCTTCTTGAAACATTAGAGTTCTAAAAAAGATAGTAATATGGAGAATTCAAGATAATTCCATCATACCTCCTTAGTCTGTTTCAGCAATGTGTTTTGCTTACTCTGGATGGCAGAGTCTATATCTTAGTTGAGTGTTTCTCAGATATCTTATCAGTACACACCACCATTTAGGGAAAGCTTGTGTTTTGGACACTGTTTGGCTCTTTGATTATTCTGATAATGATTTTGTCATTCCAGCATATAAACATTGTCTAATGGTTGAAGTAGCTCTTACCTGGACAATTAATGAGGTCTTTGTATCAAGTTTTTGTTGCTGCACTTTATTTCACTTCATTTACGTCCATATCTTAAAAACAGCAATGATGGTTCTTATTTTCTTTAACAAGTAGTGTCAAACATGATATTTCATGTAAAAGGCCTTGATTTTTTTTTAAAAAAAGTGTAATGGTAGTTTTAATAGTATTGGACACGGAAGTATTTTGATGTTGAAGTGATGTACATATATTGTAGCTGCTTTTATTTATCTTGGAAAGAGTATGGTTTGTTTCTGATAGTGAATAGAGAGGAAAGGGGTCAACATTTAGTAAACTCCATTAAAATTGTTTTAGATAAATGTGTGGGTCACTGGAGGCAAACTACACTGTTAGTGCAGCAATATCATCTGTGAGAGAAGAAATGGTTTTTGTCACTGGCTGTGGACAGTTGCTGTAACCGTGTTTTTACAGTCTAATGTTAGGCATACTGAACTATGGGTTATAAATTAAAAATATTTTGGGGAAGGTCCAGCTTGTGTTATGCTGTATATTCCATATTATTAACATTCCTGAACTTTATCTTTTCTGACTGAATGCACTCTGTATTTGCTGTTGACAGTTGTAATTAATTGTTAACTTTTCAACCTGTTCCAGAAACACACATTTCTAAATGTCTCTTTTGGGCCAGCCTTTGGATAATACTTCAGTAAAAAGAATTCATTCCCACCTGCAAAGTATAAGATTGACTGTCAGGAGTCCACAAAATAAAAAGCCAAAAAAGGGATATGCTGATAAGTATTAACTTGCTGGAAAAACACTGCAGAATGTTAAAAGTGGTTTCTCACTATAAATAAATAGAAGCAGTTAGACTAAACGTTCTAGTTTCTACTCCCATTCCGTAATTCATACAAAAGAGAAAAGAGACAACTGTTAAAATAAATCAAATGTACTTTCTTGGGTTTTCAAGAGTGGCAAAATCTTGAAGTGAGCTCTGTGTACACTACAGTAAAAAACAGGCTGGGAAATTCAATTATAACTTGGTTTGTATTCTAAACATGCAGCATAGACTTTGATTTGACAAGAACAAGTAATCATGTAATCATACTAAGTGAACATGCTGAAAGGTCTGTAGTATGAGTTGATCTGGTCTACACATGCCAAACAAACGCATTTGGTATTGTAAGGCAGGTAGGTTAAGGCCATGTTGTAATTGTTGTGTAGACGAGGCTGGGTGAATTTTCTTCTGTTCAGTCAGAGGTGTATTAGGATCAATTAAAAGATTTATATACGGGGAAAAGAGTACTTGTCAGTTAATTGCTGACTACTGAGTACTTGTCATGTGCAGGAGCACATGAGACTCATAAAACTTGATTTACAATGGGAATTGAGAACCTTATTGCCCGATGCTTTTTGAAAATTTCTCATTGATTTCCTAAGCATGTTCCCTTCAGATGAGTTTTCTGCTATGAATGGGCACAGTCCATTACAAATCATACTTGTATCAATAGGTATAGA